CCTGGCCACAGATCTACTGTCCTATGTGCAGTGTGTGTGTGTGTGTGTGTGTGTGTGTGTGAAGGGTGTAAGAGGCTGGGGATGACAGGGAAGTGGACGGAGTGGAACTCACTCAGTGAAAACAGTGTATGCAGGTTCCAACTCAGCTCGTCTGCTGGTGATCATAGAGAGTTATCCACCCTTCGCTCTCCTCTCATCTCCTTGTACTGCCCCTTCCCTAAAGACTCCTGCTGAGAAAAGGGGGATGATGGAGTCCCTCAGAGGGTTGGATGGATATAACCTAATGACACCCCTTCTCCCACCCACCCAGGATCAAGGGGATGCAAAAAAAAAAAAACAAGGAAGACAAAGAGTAGATCATGAACTTGGGCTTGGCTCTATGTACCAGGAACAAGGCACTCCAGGCTGAAGGAAGGACTCTGTTCTGTTTTGAAGGGTCCTTCCCAGGTGAGAAGTCTGCTTTTTTGGGTTGGAGGGGCTACACCTGTCAGAGCTAGAAGTCCTGGCCGAGGCAGGAACAGGAGGGAGAGGAGTTGTGTCCTAGCTTAGTGCTCCCCTCAGGTCTAGGCCTCCAACTATAGAACTGGATGCTACTTGCTGTTCCTACTACCTCGGCCATGCTGCTTATTCCGGAGGCCACTGACATCTTAGCTGTTTGCCTCTGCTGAATGGCTGCCCTCGGTACTCCCAGCAGGCGCCAGGCCATCAGTCACAGGGCTGGCGGTCCTCCGGGCTGGGCATGCAGCCTCTCCAGCAGGGCCGACTGTGGGCCAGCAAGTGGCAGGTGGCTGGGAGCAGCAGCTCCCATTCATGGGCCCCTGAGTGGCCTCTGTGTACTCCACAGCTTCCATGCCCCCCTCTGCTGCTCCCCAGCCCCCCTGAACTCTCATGTGTGTCGCCTCTCCTTTTCTGCAAAAGAGTCCACCTCATCTGTACGGTGCATTAAGCCTCTGGCCTGCACACCTAGGATCTGTCCCATCTTTCTCTAGTGGATGCCAATCCACTACTCCGTCCTCTCCAGTATCTGGTCACATCAGCCCCGTACTTCCTCTTGTCCCAGCCTCTTTCCTGTGTCAGCCTCTTCTTCCTCTCTCCTCTATAGGGGCTGAGAAGGGAGGATTTAGGTTTGAAACTCCATCTTCTCAACAACTAACCCTACCTCAGCTTGGCCCTCTTCTTTTAGTTAGCTGCTAGTGGACAACTGGGATGCCAGGGTAGGATGGACTTTTGATCCAACTAAGGGTACCTGGAGATGAGAAAAGTTGCCTATTTATTTGGAGTTATAAAAATCTTGCCAGATGGCTGGGCATGGTGGCACACACCTATAATCCCAGAATTTGGGAGGCTGAGGTAGGAGGATCGCTGTGAGCTTGAGGACAGCCTGGGATACATAAGTAAGTTCAAGACCAGCCTGCACTAAGTAGTGAGGCTCTGCCTTTTTAAAAAAAAGGGGGCTAGGAGACTCTGAAGAGAGTGCAGTTCTAAACATTTGACAGCAGGGGGCGCCCAATCCTTGGTGACGTTTGGTTCATTGCCACTCAAGACTCCATAGCTGGAATTACCCAAAGCGATAAACGTTGAGTATGTTGTGTGTGAGAACCCTAGAGGTCCCTCACTAGGGGTGAGCTTTGCAACAGTCTGACGTTCATTGAGATTGTTAGTCTTTTAAAGAAACTTATCTGTTTCCCTAAACTACTTCTTTATTTGAAAGCTTGCAAACAAACATAATCTGGTGCTTCATTCCCTTGAAGGAGATGGCAGGTAGAGGTGCTAAGGTTCCCCCAGAAAGGAGCACTGTCCTTAGCCCTCAGGAATGTTGGTCAGTTTACTGGGGATGAGGAAGAAGAGTCTCTTCATAAGCCTTATCTACAGGCACTGTCACCCACGCCAGCTTGAGGAGAAAGAAATTCTAGGCTAGTCATGCCCAAGGCGTGCCCTACAGAATTCCTGCCAGGTGCATAGTGACATGGAAAAGAGGTGTAGGGCTGGGGATGGTGGGCCTTCTCTATTTGACAGTGGGTACCTTCATAAACAGAATGTGCATGTGTGTGCAGAGAGAGAGAGAGAGAGAGAGAGAGAGAGAGAGAGAGAAGAGGAGAGGAGAGGAGAGGAGAGGAGAGGAGAGGAGAGGAGAGGAGAGGAGAGGAGAGGAGAGGAGAGGAGAGGAGAGGAGAGGAGAGAGATTTCTGTTCTCACCATGAATCCCAAGTGATGCTACACTCCTAGTGTTCCCTTATCCACTACTTCCAGAAGGGGCTTCTGGGGATCAGGTCAAAGCAACAGTGTGCATCATAGGTGCCAACCAAATGAAGCGGCCCCCAGGGCCAGCACCGCTCCCCTCTTTGTTTTCAGTACCTGAAAGTTCACTATTAAAGTTTCAGTTCTCAAGAAGAAAGGCATTTAAAAAAAGAAGAAGAAAGGCATTGCGTTGGATTTGATCATAGAGTCATCTCTATGGCTCTGTGATGTGACACCACAAGGGCTAGCAGAGGACCCAGGCATCGAGAGACAGAGTGGGACAAAAGAAGGTGACACTTGATAGGAAGGGGTCTCTGGATAACTTTGTGACCTAGCACCAAGGGAATGGGGCAGTCACCTCAGAGTGCACAGGCACCTTTCTTTGCCTCCCAGTATTCTGGGAACTGGAACTGAGACCCTTAGCCTAACATGCCCCCACTCCACTGCAAGCAGGCCATGGGAGGTTGGTAAATATCCTAATCAGATTAGCAGAGTGGAGACAGCAGAGGTGGTGGTGGGAAAATGCTCTGGGCTGGCCTGGCCCCCTCCATTCTCCTGGGAATCCAACCTCTTGTCCCTGTCCAACCTTTTCTCTGTGGCCCCTAAAGCCACTCTGGCCCCTCAGTAGCCTCCACTGGTCTGAGTGATTCCTTATAGCCTGATTTCTGCATCCTGAGTCTCCTGGAGAGCAGATGAGGTTGCAGGGAGCCCAGCCCTGCGTGAGGCACATGCCTACTACTGTACTATGCAGTCATGGAAACTGGCCCTGTGGGCTGTTGTTTTCAGCCTGCTGATTCCTTAGACCCTGTCTCTGCCTCTGGCCATGGCACTGTCCACCTACCTGTAAGGCTCGAATGGTACATCAGGATTCCAGAGTAGTTGTAGTCTTTTTTTTTCTTTCTTTTTTTTTTTAAACTTTTTAATCAATACCAGGGATTGAACTCACGACCGCCTGCTTGCAAGGCAGGTGCTTATGCCGCTGAGCTAAATCCCCAGCCCCCAGAGTAGTCTTGATGGAGGCAATGTCTGCTGAAGGCCTGAATTTAATCAAGGTCCAGTCAGTCACATCCCTCCGCAGGCCAGGCTGAGCACAGTCCTGGGCATACCTGGTCCAAGGAAGTCTGGTCAGACAGACAGGGAGGGGCGGGTGGGCCATAGTGACCCTGTGGGAAGACCAGGGCACTGAGCCAATGCAGGAGAAGAGCTAGGCAAACAGGAACTGGTGTCCCCGAAAGCTGAACATGAACCTGTGACCTGACAGCTGAGGAGAGCAAGGTAGAGTTGAGAGCAAGCGGTTGAGGGTGGTGGTGGTGGTGGTGGTGGTGGGGTGCTGAAGATCAGGAGTTTGAGATTGGATTGTGAGGGCTGGAGAGTCCGGAGGTAGAGAAGGGAGTGGGACATCAGAAGATTGGAGGCCAAAGGGTTGAAGTCTGGGTTACTGCGGAATGGAATGGCAATTAGGGGACTGAGGATTTAGGATTTAGGGGAATTTAAGGGCCAGGCATTAACCAAGGTGTTGGAGGACAGGATGTCAGCACCTGAGAAAAGGTTGAGGTTTTGGGGAGCTAAGGAAGTAGTAGGTTGGTGCAGCTGACTGTGGAGAGAGGAGGTAGACAAACAAGCCCTCCCTCAATGAGCAAGACGGAGTGTGGACCTGTCCCAGCCCAGGCCTCCCTTTGCCCTGTGGCCACACTGGGTCACGAGGGCGGGCAGTGGGCCTCTCCTTGTTGGGCTGTCAGAGCGGGTTAGGCTCAGGGAATTGGTTCCCTGGATCATCTCCCAGGAGCCAGCCCCTCCTGGCAGCTTTGTTTGGCGAAAGCCAGGGATTAGCAGGGCTGCCCCCACACCACCTCCCAGCCGCCAGCTCCTGGCGCTTTCATCCCTGAAGGTCGCTAAAGCTGCAGTGCTTTGAGATTAGGCCCCACAAAGGGGCCCCTTGTGCTTCAGCCAAGCCTTGGGGGCAGGGAGGGGATCCCAGGAACTGAGCATAGGCCGAGCCCCAGAGACAAATCCTTCTCTCCCTCCTTGGTGCATCCCAAAGCGACCCAGGACAAGGGCAGAAGACCTCTCTCAGACCCCCTCCCTGGCTCAAATACTGCGGTCATCTCAGGGTGGAGGTGGATGGCAGAGCAGGAGGGCAGCGTAGAGGTGGGGGCAGGTCTAGAATGCAGATGGAGAAAGAACATTGGTCGCAGACCGGAGAGGAGGCAGGGTCTGGGAGGAGGGCCCTTGTGCTGGGTCCTACCAGGTTGCTTGCAAAGCTGAGCCAGCAGTGTGGGGAGGTTCCCTTTGCACCAGGTGCCTGAGGCAGTAGGGGTTCAGGGTGGGGCAGGGTAATTTTGGCCCCTTTCAAAGAAGAGAGTGGCATTTCATACATTTGGATTTTTTTTTTTTTTTGTCTTTTTCCTTTTTATCGGTACCGGGGATTGAACTCACGACTGCCTGCTTGCAAGGCAGGCGCTTATGCCGCTGAGCTAAATCCCCAGCCCCTACATTTGGATTTTATAGGCCAATCAAAACTTATCTTAAATGTGTATTCTAGCATAAAGTTGCCAGATATTAATTCTGCTATAAAAGAGCATAGAAGGAACACTACCAACTACTGTCAGATCATTTCATAAAGGAAAAGATATTTTGGTATCAAAAAAGTAGAAAAGACATAAACCTGTGATATAGAAGATAAAGCTCTAAACTGAATAGATACAGTTTTATGAAAAATTTCCTACTAAAACCTTTTATTTTTCTTAATTACTGATGTTTAGGTGAAATGTTTTGGGGCTTCTAGAAGAAGTGAACTTCCAAATGATGCCTGTCTCTCCTGGAGTCTGGATCAGCCAGGTTGTGCCAGGGGTTGGGGGAGTGGGCAGCTGTTGGAGATGGAGGCCTGGGAAGGTTAGGGGAAGGGGTCTAAGACCTAGCTGCTGGGTCAGGGGCTCTGCTGAGAGTTCAGTCTTGGCCTTGGCCTTTCATTGCCAAGGAGACTTAGGAGGGGGAGGGAGCAGGCCTGACAGCGGTCGATAGAGGGAAATTTCTTCCTGTCCTCTTGCTCATAAAATGTTTGTGGCCAACGTATTGTACAACATTCCCAGAGAGGCCACAAAATGCGGTGCTGGGCTGGCAGGGTCAAATGGAGCTCATGGAGACCGGTCGGTGGAATCAGTCCCTAGCTAGGTCACTCCTGGGGCTGGTACTCTGGAGGGTTAGGGTTAGGGTCATTGGCATGGTAGTGGTGGAGGTAGACACGTGAGATTAGCAAGAGGCACAGCAAAGTGCTCCATCAATCCCTTGTTGAGAAAGTGTCCACAGGAAGGGCTGCCAAAGAGACAGAAAACTTGAGAACCATTAATTGATATTTTTGTGGCATTTTACCACATGCTGGGCATTATGCTGAATTTTAACTCATTTGATTCCTATAATGAACTTAGGTGTAAGTATGATTTCTTGATTATTCCTCCATTTAACAAATAAGAATACTGAGGCACAGAGGTTAAGTGACTTGCCCAAGAGAATAACTAGTAAGTAGCACAGCTAGGGTGTGAATCCAGGCCATCTGGTCCCAGCGTCCATCCATACACAGACTGCCATACATACTATACTGCTGCACTGTAAAGAATAACCAACTTCTGAGTTCCCACTGTTACCTGCTTATGTCCCCTCGCTGCAGGACACAGTCAGTAGTTTCCCTAGAGTTTGGGACCATCAAGTGGTACTTATCTGGCTGGGTGTGGATGGTATATGCCTGTAATTCCAACACTTAAGAGGTTGAGGCAGGAGGATTGCTGAGAATTCAAGGGCAGCTTGAACTATATAAGGAAACCTTGTCTCAAAACAATAAAATAAATTAAATAAAAAATATATACAGAGAGATACATGTATCTGGAAGGAATGGAAGTGTACCCTTGACTCCTTGCAGTGGTTTAAAAAAATCTGCCCACAAATTCTCTGAAACATCTTCCTTTGAGAGAGGGGAGTTTAATTCTCTTCTTGAATGAGTGCTGGTTTTAATAATTAGCTAGAATGAATAGAATATAGTAGAAATAATGAGATAATTGCATTTTTAAATTTTGAGATAGAGTTTCCCAATGTGTCCAGGCCAGTCTTGAACTTACAATAGAGCCTACATTGACCTTCAATTCATAGTGATCCTTCTGCCTCAGCTTCTTAAGTGCTCATATTACAGGTGTGTGCCACCATGTTTGGCAAGATAGTACTTTCATTTTTGTTTTTATTTTTGTTTCTAGACAGGGCCTCACTATATAGTACAGGCTGGCTCTGAATTCACTTTGTAGCCCAGGCTGGCCTCCAACTCGCAGTGATCTTCCTACCTCAACTTCCTGAGTGCTGGGATTACAGGTGTGTGCCACTGCACCTGTACAAGGTACTTCATTTAAGAATAGATTATAAACTGCCTCTGTCTCTTTGTTCTGCCTCAGATCCCAGATACCATGTGAAGAAGTCCAGATTTGGGGGACATATATAGCTCAGGGGCAGCATGCTTGCCTAGAATGATTGAGACCTCGGGTTTAGTCCCCAGCACCACCACCCCCAGAAGTCCAGACTGAAGACAGCACATGGAAAGGAACTAAGGCACCTTTGCTGACAGCCAGAATCAAGTGCTATCCACAGGAATGAGCTTCTCAGAAGGGGATTCTCCTGCCCCAGTCAACACTCAGAAGATACAGACCTGGCCAACAGCTTGACTGCAGCCTCATGAGAGGCCCCGAGCCAGAACCACACAGCTAAACTGCTCTTGGAGTCCTGGCCCTCAGAAATTGCCACAGAATAAATGTTTGTGGTAAAACGTTAGGTCTGGATGTAGTTTGTTATGCAAAGGTGGATAACTAGTACCTCAGACTAGTCTTATAATCAGGAATCTCACCATTAGATTTTTACCCTACAGGTAGGTTGTCGCTCTCTGCCCCATGACTTTCTCCCATCCTGAGATAATTACTGGGCAGATGCTGATTTGCTGGACCAGATAATAGCAAGAGGACACCTTCAATCTGATTAGGTGATGCCATTCTGAGAATGGCATTAGGCCACTTAGGTTCTCAACCCATCCAGGTTAGGCCAGTAGCAGTCACCACTCTGAGTAGCTTTGATGGTCCTTTGCCACTTTACAGTTTTTCTATATGGCCGCTTCTGTCTCCTAGAAAACACACACACACACACACACACACACACACACACACACACACACACACACAAAACCGTCCCCTGCTTCAGTACACAGCAAGGGGGCAAGGCCATCCCAGGGCTGAGGGATTGAGAAGAGTTGTGTTTTGAAGGACCCAGGGTCCACAGATCCCATTTTTGGGCCCCAGTGTTCGGGATAGTCTTCATTCTCCACTCTACGATGACCACATCACATTGTAAGCCTCTTCGAGATCCTCCAATCTCCTTTTAGCATCCCTAGTGTCAGAGGACCACTGACTGAGCCAGGGACAGAAGGTAAGTACAGTATGACTACACGTCTCCTGTCACAGTGCATATAACACAGTGTGAATGTATGAGGAAACGGAGTGGGAAATGTCTGTGTAGTGTGTGCTGTCAGCCTGCATGTAGCATTTGATTTGTGGTTTCCGGTTGGGAAGGAGAGTACGCACAGCCGTGTTTCTGTGTATACCTGAGAGAGCATTTGCATGTGTGAGAACACAGCTATCCATATGACAGCTTTGTCAGGGTGGAGATTTGTAAGCTTCATCCGTGTGTCAGTGTTTGCTGCCTTGAGAATGCCTGTCTGCCTAGTTTTCAGGGCAGGCACCAGCCCTGAGAGCTCCTGAGCTGCTGTCCTCAAAGGGTTAAGGGAAACAGGAGCCGCCATAACTCTTAATCATAGCTTTGCAAGCTTAGCCAGTGCCCCTGTTGAAAAATGTTTCAAAAAGCAAAATAAATGATCTTTTAGTTACAGAAGTATTGATTTTGCCCACATCTAGTAATAAAGAGCAAGTCACCTGTAGCTAAAACTCTTGTAAAATATATTTTATACTCTAATAGTCTGCAGATAGAGTCACCCGCTGAGCACAGATGACAAATCTCCCCAGCGCGGCCTGTGCCCCCCATATTTCACGTCAGGGACATGGTGGTGGCGCAGGCAGCAAAAGAGCTGGGCCTCCCTGCAGGTGATAGACGTGGCCTGTTTGGTTGGAAGAAGAAAAAAAAGCTGGGTTTCTGGCACACAGTTTGTGCCCCTGCCCCCACCCTTGGCCCTCAGCACCAGTCTGGGTCACGGTGTGACTCAATTTCTTTGCAGACAGAGCGCCCCTCTTATAGTTCCCTTCTTGCTCCCCCAGGGCCTCAGAACAGGGTATATTTCTCCCCACCCCTCAGGTTCATGGCCTGATGGTTTGGAAAAGTTGAGGCTGGATTAAGAGGGAAGTGAATGAGCAGTCAGGTACTCCTTCCTGGCTCAAAAACCACATATCCTAGGTGTGTACAGATGTGTTCACACATGTATAGTCTGGGCTTCCAGGTGCACACAGGGGACACACATGGCCCACAATGCACACATGTGCAGAATTACCCTTCCATGTACTTGGAGGATACCTGTGACAACCCCCTCCCCATGCGTATGTGCACTTGCACCACACTTGGCTTTACACAAGTGCTCATTGCTGGGCATTCCGCGGTGCATATTCAGTCAGCCCTTCGAGTAGACTGGCCTCCCAGCCAAAGAACCAGGCCGAAGCCACTTTGTCCAGAGAACGCCTCCAAGAAATAGACTTCTGTCACTCTGCTTCTGGGGACTGGAAAGGAAAACACACTCTTCTCTCAATTGTCTCCACCCAGGGGCTGGGGACTTGGCACAGCGGCATAAGCACCTGCCTTGCAAGCACGGGGTCGTGAGTTCCATCCCTGATACCAATTTAAAAAAAAATTGTCTCTACCCAGAGGCAACCTGGTCAGAAGAAACTCCTTAGCCCCAAAAGCATCACAAGAGGAGCCACCTCCTCCCAGCTGGGGATAAATAGGGGTTCTTGGTCCTTTATTTTTGGGGATGGCTGGGGAGAAGGGAGAAAGGGAGAAGTGAGGAGACTCTGGGTTTAGGGAAGTTCCAGAGGAGGTGAGCGGGATAAGTCGGGTGGTATTGGAAGGAAGGTTGGGAGTTGAGGACTCAGGAGTTCCTGGGGGTTTGAAGAGCACTCAGGAGCAGGCAGCAGTTGATCTTAGGGAAAAAGGAAGGGCAGGCAGCTGAGTGTGTGTGTGTGTGTGTGTGTGTGTGTGTGTGTGTGTGTGTGTTGCTTTCCGGTGGTCAGAGAGTCAGGATCATGCAGGGGCATCTTTGGTGGTGAGGGCCTCCTGCAGGAAGGAGGGGCAGAGCAGGTAGCTGCCCCGCCTGGGGTTGGGGGTGGGGTGAGGGGTGGGGAGAGCTCTTTAAGCGGCGGCCGCGCTAATAACCTGTCCAGGAGATGGCTCGTGGCAAATTGCTTTGTTAGTCTTGTCAGCGCGGCCGGGGCCGCCGTCAGCGCGCGCCATGGATCAAGATGATGAATCGCCTGGACGGCGCAGATGCGGGCGGCCCGAGGCCGGGCCCCGGGGTGGGGTAGGGGGCGGAGGGGTCCGCAGGGGGCCCGGGCAGCCGCTATTAACTCCCGAATTAGCTCTAAGCCGCCCACCACCCAGCCACTGCCCCGGGGAGCGGGCCTACCAAGGGGAGACACCCGCGACTCCACCCGAACGAGGACCCACGGCTCCTCACTAGGATCCGCACGAGGGAAGGGAAGGGGCGCGGTCTCCGCTGCACCCCCAAAGCCTCTTCCCTCGAGGCCAGGTGTTCTGGCTCTCAGAGGTACTCTGGGGGAGCACTAGGGAGACTCCGTTTGTGTGTGTGTGTGTGTGTGTGTGTGTGTGTGTGTGTGTCTTGGGTTGGGTTGGTGAGCTCGGGTTCCCACTTAACCCAGTTCAGAGACCAGAGATGATAGAACTGCGTGCTGCTGTGGATCTTTGCGGGGACGGGGACGGGGTCTTAGGCACATCCTTTCCCAGATCTCTCAGGAAGACAACGGGGACTCCAGCACCCTTGGAGTTGCTAGGCCAAATGGAAACCTATGAGTACCTACCTAGCTTTCCCAAAATCCTGACTTAACCCATCCTTTGACCACACCCCCCAATATAAAAACATCCCTGTAAACACACATGAACATACATACAGGAACACATAGGAATTTAAACAATCCACATTAGCACATTCTGCATTTACATACATACAAATATAGGTATATATATTCTATAGAAAATATTATATAGAATATATTCTGTAATGTATATCCTAGAATATATTTAACTGTATATTATATTTTATATATATTTTAAAAACATAATGCACCTTGGTACTCAACTGATCAGGTGGGGGCAGGTCCCCAGTTCCTCTGGGGATGTCTTTTCTTCAGCCCTTTGAAGATAGCAGCCCCAGCCCAGGCAGGCAGGTGGGAAGGCTCCAGGAGCCATCTTGGGAGGAAAGCCCCAAGTCATTTCCAGTTCTTAGCTCCTGTCTAGATGTGATATTTTCAAAGTGGTTTTGTTAAACCAGCTAAACTCACCTACATTGTGGCACAAGCTTTCTGCTGTACCAGGCCTCCCTTAGGGTACGTTCCCCTTGCCTGACCTACTGTTTTCCTCTCAGACTTTCTATCCCAGTAACAGAGTTTACTAAGGGTTTCGTGTCTTACCAACCATGATTCATAATTCTACAATCAACACAGAGCCAAATCTTGGGCTGCAATGTCTTTGAAGAGCATGGGGGAAGGGGACTGTGACTGGGTAAAGGGAGCTCTCTCTGTACATGATAACCCCCTGGTTGAAAAACTGTGTGCTCCTGTAGTGGTGGGTCTGCTTGGTAGTGTGACTTCTCTGGGTGTTAAGAAATTCAAGTCATCCCCCACTCCAGGACAAGGTCTCTCTATGCAATTCAGACTAGCCTTAAACTCACTATGTAGCCCAGGCTCACCTCGAACTCAAGGTGATCCTCCTGCCTCAGTCTCCCAAGTCCTGGGATTACAAATGTGTGCTACCATACGTGGCAGAAACCCAAGTCTTATGAGACCTGGTATATTCAATGAGGACTGGGCATACTGGCCATCTGCCACCACTTCCAGGCTGGGAATCCTAGAAGCCTGAGATAAGAGGCAATCAATAATTTCTCCAGGTAGATCTAGAATACAGATGGCAAAAAAGGTTCTTTCTAAAAGCAAGTGCTTAGTGGAACCTGGTGCCCCACTACCTGGAGTTCTCAATAGTCCTCTGGCAACCAGCAGAATCTGTGTTAGCCTCAAGCACACCAACCCCTGACTCTGAGCAAATGTGGCCTCTTCATGTCCAGGGATAATCACCCTTTATCCTTCCCAGAAAACCCTGTCCTGTCTGAGATGGAGAACTAGGGAAGGCTCTAGGCAAAGAAAGATTCTTCCTTCTACTAGAAGGGACACTCCAATGAGATTCTTCTTGGTAGGGGGCACCTCTTAGCAAGTCTCCTTGGCACCACCAAGCAGGGATGATTAGGACTTCACATGTGCCCTACTGTGAAGGGGACTTTTGGGCATCCCTAATTACATGACTCTATGTGTGACCCCTCCACATGTATGCCTGTGCCCACCCATGTCTGTGTGTCACTACCTGCCTGCCGGGAGTACAGCTGGCTGAAGTTTCCTCCAGGATGAGCTATGTGGCTGCTTGTATGTGGAGGGCAGCGGGCTGGTGGTGGTGGAGGTGTGGTGTCTTTCCCTCCATTCCCCTAGTTTGTGTGGCACTCCAGTGGCACATTTTGATGATCTAAG